GGAAATATATAAAAATATTGTGTGCGACACTTTTTGTAATTGCGTTTTTGTGTGGGATTCTTAAATCGATATTTTTTTCTTTTAAAAATTTGTATTTCACGGTGTGAAAAATGTGTGAAGAAATGATGCACTGCGTGATCGCACCCATAGGGAAAAATTATTGTAAAAAAGAAATCCTTCACAAAGTTTTTTTTTAAATATACTCACCAGCAAACTAAAAATCTCGTTTTTTTGTGTGTGCTAAAAAAAACGAAAAAAAAAAAAAAAATATATATATATATATATATATATATATATATACATGTTACATTCCCAACCCTTCTATAATTTTAATCGTAAGTTGTTCTGTCAACTTTTCGTTTCGTTGTTCTCCCCGCATCGAAATTCTTCTTCTCGAATTGTTTGGCTGTAATCAACTGATGGAAAAATCGAGTTGATTGTCCTCTATTATTTTCTTCAGGATCCATAGAGCTTCGTAATTAAAACTTGGTAGCAGGTAATTATGAGAATAAATTAAATCGGATATTAACAAAGAAGAAATCCACAAAATAAATAGGGGGAAAAATCAAAATAATAAAGTCAATAAAATAATAAAAGACTCTGAAGGATAAAAATAATAAAATCAATAAAATATAAATCTTAAGAATAGCAATAAAATGGAGGAAATATTTAATCTACTTTGCAGGGGCTTAATCAGTCACGAATTATTTAGACACCGCACTTTTAAAAAAAAAAAAAGCAAAAAAAATCTCGATCTTTTTTTTATTAATTAATTAAACCGCGGGACCATGTAATCTTGATGATCGAAAATTTATGAGTAAAACCCGCACTTTTACGAGAAGGAAGAGAAAGAGAGAGAGAGACGATTCGTTACCGAATGGATGAAACAGGTTTTCACATTTTTCATGGATCGATTAGGGCCCAAACAAAAGGAAAACCGGAAAGGTAGAATCGCTACCTGACCCGTCGTTGGGGGCCACGAAAAGAGAATTTTCTTTTTGGGACCACAGGACCCAAGAAAACCGCGCTTACCTACTCTCTTCTTTGCCTCACCTCTTCTTTACCAGGAAAAATTTCTAACCCGTTCCTACTTAACAAATTCAAAAGAAATCCAAACTAATCAGTTTCAAGTGTGTTACAGCTCCAGTACTTGAAACATCTATCACTCTAATTAATCATAATTTACTAACCACACTTCGTTCCTCAGGAAAATGTGGCAAATTATATTCCTATTAGGAATGATTTTATCAGCCTCTGGAAAATCAAGCCAGGAATATTTCGTGGAGGAAATTTCCCAACCATCCGGAATATACCTGGAGCGATTGGAAGACATCAAGGTGATTAAAGAAACCTGGTCAATCCATACTGGAGTAGAGATAAGTCAATTATATAAATATTCAGAACCTTTAATGCCTACTCTGCAATTATATGCGAAATATTGTTTTGATCAAACAGTAGAATATCTAAATTATTTAAAACTGGCACAATGGGAAATGTACGATCAGGAAATTGCACATCTTTGGAATATGACGCCCAGTTATATTCGACCCTGGGGTACATCTATTAATACCAATTTTGAAAATTATAATACTATTCTTAAGAAAGACGAAAAAGCTTATTATGACAAAGTCATACCCTCTAAAAGAGAAGAAGAATTAATTGTGTTTTCAGAACAAAGTTTTTATACAACATCTGGTCTAATAAATATCCTTGTAAAACTAGAAAAGTTACAAAACATTATAAATTTTGATGCTGTGCATTTGCAAAACCATTATGATCACCAATATAAATATCATGTCGTCTTATCTAATCTAACTCAACATGTAGATTCACTAATTGAACTCCGATTGAAATTATTTAATACTGTAATTCAAATCATCAATAATGCGGAAAGCGGAATGGTTCATCCCATGACTTATGAACAGTTCAGATTGACTGTAGTATTTAAATTCTTGGAAGTTAGAGATGAAAGCGAAATTCCAGTTCCTATCGGAAAGGTCAATTTGGCTCAACTTCAAGGAATCATTAAAACACGAACTGTCATAAGAAACGGAACTTTAATAATCACAACGAGGATTCCGCTCATCGAGAAAAAACCAAGAAAATTATATCAAATATATTCACGTCCGGTTGTGCAAAATCTAGGAAATAATATTCAAGTTTTCGCTCAGGTAAAACCAACCGCCAAGTATGTTGTATTGTTCAATAAAAATACACTGTATTATTTCCTCGATCAAAAACAACTAGATAAGTGTATACAAACAACCCCATCAAAAATCTGTGAAAACCCGTCAATTATTTATTCAGTTCAATCGACATTAAACTGTGAAATGCAATTATTATTCTCTAAATATCTGGAGAATCCTCATATTAATTGTGACATAGGCCTTACGCCCGCAGTGAGGGACATTTGGACTCCACTAAATAGTTACGGAAGTTTACTTTACAGCCTCACTGAACCAACTCTCGGATATTTAACTTGCTCAAAATTCACCGAGATACTAAATCTTACCAGTAACGGTAAGATATCCTTGAGGCACAATTGCATTCTGGAAACCAGTAATTTAACTGTAGAAATGAATAACTACGTAAATTCAACTTCCGTGAATAATGATTTAATACCTTCACATTATCTGAATTTATCTGAAATATTTCCCGAGATCCACTTTTTCACAACCCAAAGGATTTGGGAGTATTCCTCCGAATTAAGAAACTTAGCTGCCATATCTCGGAAAAAATTTCACATTATTATTAAACAAGATAGAGAGGTTCCTCCAAAATATTCCATGAAAACGTGGATACCAATAATCAGTATTTCTCTCGGCTTGACAATAGCCTTATATATAATTTGTAGTTGTGTATTATGTATGGGGGCTCGAGAAACAGTAGAAACTGAGGAAAATCCATCAGAGAATCATGCAGCAAGAGGGACATATGTACGTAACGATTCCCCTTTTCGAACCTCCGTGGCCCTTGTAACAGCTGAAAGTGCTTATTCACATCCACCTCTTCCCAAGCCTGTAAATCCCTATATGGGAATACAATTCAAACAAACACAAAACGAAGTTGATATGTCTTTATAAAAATTATATCTATCACTCTCTTATTTGTGTGTATGCGTGTTAAAACAAGAGAAAACTTCACAATACATTTTTGTCATTCCGTGTGTGATAAATTGGATAAAAAAAAATAATAATAATAAACGATATGTGGATTTGAGTGATTTCATAGTATAAAAAAAGTATAAGCAATTTATAACACTTAGTGTGACTATATATAATGTATTTCACAAACAATTATAATTACATCCTGTAAACGTGTAAATTCCATGATATGAAAACCGCAACCCTTATACCTAAACTATTCCATTTCCTTATGCTCAATTTTCACGGACCTGTTTGGTGAAAGCAAGGAGGACCTTGCTTATTCTTCATCCCCGGAGTTGTTACGTACCCTGTACGTATAAGGACCTTGCTTATTCTTCATCCCCGGAGGTGTTACGTACCCTGTACGTATAAAGACCATTGGATAATGTTACATGCCCAGTACGAGAATTTTGATAATTCTATTATTGATCTTCACCGTTTAAGAGGTTTCGTGGATGACTAAGCTGGACAATAACCATACAACGGAAGTGTGATGCTATGACTCAATTACGGGAAAAACGCCTAAAAAAGACCATGGTACGACTTTTATCAGAGGATAGGATCGGAACGAAGGATAGTCTTCACGTGTCCCACGCCAATTACGGGAAACAGATGGTCGACTATTCCCTTCACAAAATTTGGAAAAACTAGGCAAGTCCAAACAGAAAATGAGGAGGCCTAATGTCACCTAATCGCCAATCAACGAGCTCCATGGAGGAATAGGAGAAACGTCACCACCAATCCCCGAATTATATCCAAAGAAATCCAATAATTAGGCGGATACCTATAGAAGACAATGGTAAAAACAGGGGAAGCTTCTAGAACCTTCCACCCCTGATGACACACTGTCGATTCAATATAAAAAGGGAGCCGCGACGCGGAAAGGTCAGTTCGAACTTCGAAATTCCAAGGGAAGAATTAATACCCTGAAGCTCCAGCCAGAAGTCTCCAAAAGTCGTCATTCAACTCATATTCCCAGTACAAAACTAGTGGTCCCTTTCATTACAACGAGTCTACAGTCTGAAGGTCCAGCCTGGTGAAATAATACTCTATTATTTCACCACTCATCGAGATTGGCCATTCCTTCGGGTCTCCAGTCTACTCAAGAGGATCAACTATCAACCTACGGTTCACTAACCCCCGAGGACATCTCTGCAGAGCCCAACGATTCAACCACAGAGCATTCCTTCTGACACCCCTGAGTATTTTTATCAACCAATCGTAAGTGTCCATGTCCTTCATTATCCTATTTCTCTACTTTTCCATCTTCCTGTTTTTCCTCCGACGGTTTTCACCCTGTGTTTACCCGAAATTGAATCATCTTTAAACGAATAAAATATTTAATCGGTGTAGTTGGTCTCTTTCTCTTCCTTTACGTGTCACATTTTCGGCGTATTTTAATACCTTATCCCGAATATCACGTTCTCGATAATATTTTGTTGAAGAGATAATTAAACTCCGGTTTGTCTCATCATCACAGTGACTTCCAGTCGTGACTGATAACGGTCAGGTAAGAGTCAGCAGGTAGATTTCCTTTCCCTCTCGCTCTCACTCAAGATACGGTTGTCCACAATAGACTACTCTCTTGGTGATTGTCGTCGTATTGAAGTGCTTTGATTTGTACTGGAATGTGTCGGTGAATTGATGCCAACACAATCCAAGTACCTTGGTGACTGACTCCTCGAACTGGATAATTTCTTCTTCAGTGGATAGGCCTAACTCATACAGAGCCTCTGGACAATTGCTGCTCCACTTCTGTAGAGAGAAGCCTCATGCATGGCAAAGCCCTTGTAGTTGCGTTGCGATCTCCTTGAGACCGTCTTCTGTCTCTGCACCGCCGTAAATGTCGTCAACCTAACGACCTCTGGTGAGTGTCTCTACTGCTGCTGGGAAGCGGTGCCCTTCATCTTCTGCTAGTTGTTGAAGAACACGTAACGACAACCATGGAGAACAATTTAGTCCATAGGTGACTGTTGTTAACTGGTAGGTGACTGGTTGTTGATTCTCGTCGATCCACAGGATTCTCTGAAGATCCCAGTCATCTTGGTGATTTCGTATCTGGCGGAACATCTTGACAATATCCGTGCCAAACACGAGCCTGTGCCTCCTCATCCAAGTCAGGATAAACATGGCATCGTTCTGCAATTCTTCACCAGAATACAGTATATCGTTAAGTGACATACCTGATGAACTGGGGCTGGAGGCATTGAATACGACTCTCAGCTTCGTTGTGATGGCCTCCTCTCTCAGTACCCCGTGATGTGGAAGATAGTAGGCTGGCACGGGTTCTGGAGTCTCTGGTGCTATTCTCATGTGCCCCAGTGCTGCGTACTCGTTGATGAAGTCTCTGTATAACTGGGAGTATACTTGATCTGTGTTGAGTCGACTCACGATCGATTTGAGTTGACGTGCTGCTTTAAATTTCGATTCTCCGAGCGCTGCTGCTGAAGTTTTGAGGGGCAGTCTCACGATGTATTGCCCGGTGTTGTCTCCGCTATGAGTTGCTCTAAAGTGCATCTCGCACTCGTACTCATCTGGTGAAAGCTCTGATGTTGATGATCTCTCGTTTGGCAATTCTTCCTGGACCCAAAATTTCTGGACAGCTGATAGAGATACCTTTATTGAACAATTTGTGTATTCGATTGGTCCGGATAGTATCCAACCGAATACTGTGCATTGGTCAACTACTCTCGATTGCTCTGACTTGACAACTTCATCCATGATGATCCGCCCATAGTTGTCAGCCCCTAATATGATGTCGATTGGTCCAGGCCTTAGATAATGGGGATCGGCTAGCTGAAGATTCTGATGTGAGCCGATCCTCGCTGACGAGCATGAAAATGACGAAATTATTGCGGTGAGCTTCTTTAAAATGTGGGCGTTGAGTTGCAGTTGATGAGTCCCATGGCTCGCTTGTAGAATGACTGAAACTATTCCTCTGGTGTGTCCTGAATTAATTCCACCAATTCCCACTAGCTTCACTGTTGATGCTCTTCTCTGTAAATGCTGATTAACTAATTGTTCGGAGATAAACGATACCTCTGAACCCTGCTCGATGAGTGCACTGGCTTCTGTCGTGAATCCTCTCGGTGATATTACTTTTACTCGTGCTGTTGCCAACAGCACTGACTGTTGATCTGCTTCTCCTTGGTGATTTTCGTGGTTGATGTTCTCTGCTTTCTCATTGATCATTTTCTTGTTGAAGTTTACTGCTACTGGTGGTGATGTACTGCATTCTAATGTTGAGGAATGTAAAGATATTTTCCCGGGTTGTTCACCCAGGAAAAATGCAAACTACTTTTTAAGCCTTCTCTATCGCTCAATAATCGGGCGTCAGCCAAACCTTCATGGGAGGTTCGACGAAAACCGGCCTCTGAGGCAAACTCCTCCACTCAGAGGACTTCTGTGGCCGGGCAAAGGGTTGCCCAGCTAGCATCAGTGTGACACGGTAGAGTGGGCGAGGTCCACCAGGAGTATCCTATGCCAAACGTCACCAGCCACTATTTCAGGCTGGAAATTAAGCCTCACGGCCTAGTCATCCATGCAAATTGAATTTACTCTCGTCCTGGAGGATTTTTCACTCTCTCAGTAGGCTTTCTCCTTCCGAGTTTTTCGACTCGGGAGTGTGTTTAGAATTGAATGCGAATTAGCCGGGACTCCTCAGAGCCTGGGATGCCGAGAGGCTGATCCGACCAAAGTGGAACACTGTTACCCACTTCACGACCACCCACACTCTCGGCCACCAGTTACCGCTTCGGTCATCGCACGTCACTGTCTCCGGGTACTCGAATTTCGGCACATGGTCGGGTCGACAGGAGGACGATCTCTACTCCAGACCCGCGGGCCCATGCGCACGGCATTCGTTTCGCCGAGCCGGATAATGCCGGAAACAACAAAGTCGTCACTAAGAGTTCCAAAATAACTCTTTTTTCCGTTTGTAGGGGATGCAGGAGCATCTCCCTACGTTCGCTACCATCAGTTATGCACCTGGCTGCGCTGAGCTATTCGCCCGCCATTCCCGTGGCCATCTTCCAAGCCAACACCACAGTATATCTCGGATAAATCCTTTCGACTTCCCCGCTCGAGCGTCCGCGTTCGACTAACTCAGAATCTTACTAGGGCCTTCTCCCTCTAGTCTGAATATCTCAGGGACGATAGGTCATTCCGTTACCCTATCCCCTCCAATCAACCCGACGGGATCCCGGGGGCACCAGTCCTCTCACCTGGCCGTTGGTCCCTAGTCTACCCTGACATAGCCTATAGAATCGCCCAGTTGGACAGCCTGTACATCGGCCCCTTTTCCTCTAGCACATGCTGGGCGAATTCCAAAATAGCGATAGTCTAGGAACATCCTCGAGACCTCCAGGGGTCGCGGTTTCACCCATAACCGCTATGCCTTAAGTCTTTCATCGGTTTGTCGCTCAGTTCATCTAGTCGCGGCTTTCTTCAGCCGCCTTTAGATGTCGCCTCATGTCTCAATTTTAGAGTTCACGTATCTTTTTAAGGGGATTTCAACCCGTAACGAGAAAATCTCGTTACAGGAATGATCAATGAGATGATGAGTGTGCTATTGAGGTTGAAGTCATTCACTCACTGTTCCCGTGATCCTCTTGCTGCCTGGACGTTCCGGCAGTCTGGACGGGCTCAGCTGGAGTGCGTCGTGCTGGAGGCGGGCTCATCGTCCATGAGCTCCTTCCATGGATGAGAGTGTGGTGGTACCTGCTGCATTTGTGGCACTTCTTGTCCGACGTGCACTTGGCCGTCGTATGTGGCCCTAAGCAGTTGAAGCACAGCCCCTTGGTGATAACGATATCGTTTCTCTTAGCTGGGATGAGCTCAATGAACCTCTGGCAGAATGCGATGAAATGCTTATCCTGACAGTAGGCACAGCAGTTCCTGGGAAGTAGTCTTTCTGGCTATTTTCCTGCTGGTGAGTTGCTGCTATATAGGTGCTCCTTTTCTTTGGTGGAGCTGACTTCTTCGTGGGTGTGTTGATTTCCTTCATTGATAACAGTTTTGCACCTGCGTTGATCCCTCTGCCGTAGGCCTCGATGAATGCCACGAACTCCTTAAGGCTCGGTAAATCCTTGGAGTCTCCCAGCTTTAGTTGCCACTGCTTCAGTGTCTCTGCATCAAGAGATCTCCTCAGCAAGTGGGCTATCAGTTGTTCAGCGATGTTCTCCGTCGTTAACCCCGTCATGTCTTGCAGTTGATCGAGGGTCTCCAATGCTGCTGCTCCATTGGCGTTGAGGTTCTCTTCTTTCGCTTGGGTGATTTTCGGCAGCGTCAGGATTCTGTTAAGCAGCGACTGAGCAACGAGCCTAGGGTCCTCGTACTTCCTGGTGAGTTTCTGCCAAGCCTTTTCATAGTTTTCGTCCTTGGCCTGAAAGGTTGAGAGGAGGGCTGCTGCAGGACTTCTCAGGTATCCCTTTAGTCTCACCAACTTCTGTACTGGTGGAATTGACGTTACGTTTCCCACCAGTGACAAGAAAAGGTCACTGAACTCTTTCCAATCTTCCGGTTTACCATCGAATGGCTTGATGTCAAGACGCTTTAGCTGATTTGCCTGGCTTTGATCCGTTGAGCTGCTAGTTGAATCCTTCTTCCTTGCCAGTTGACCCTTCAGCCGAGCAATGAGCATCAACGCTTGTCGTCTTGTCCTGGTGGCTCGTTCATGTATCATCTCGTTGACATACTCATGATCAGGGGGAAGAAACTCGGCTAGGTTGGCATAAATTTGAAAATATTCGTTCCATTCTGCCTCGATTATCCCTTTGTGCCCGTCTAACTCCTCTAAGGTGAGGTCCTCTTCGTTTTCAACGTCCTGCGGGAGGCCATGATAGATCTCTATCAGAGTCTCTACCTTGAATATTAATAGTCTTAATTGACCTTCCTGCTGCATGGTGAGTGCTATTTTTGAAACTGCAGGCGTTGACTTTTGTTGAACGGGCTCTTTTGATACTGACGATCCACTTGGACTGTTGATTTCCTCAGGAGTGGTGATCGGCTTAGTTATGACTGCCTCATTTTTTGCTGGGAGTCCCTCTTCTTGTGTGACTTGCACAATTTCCTCACTATCGCTCACTGGTTGTTGAGTTTCTTCTTTGGGTTCGTTGACCTTAGTGTCGTCTGCCATGGTGATTGTCCGTGCTAAGTTGTCGGTTTAGGTGAGTTATCGGTTGCTGAGAGTTGGGTGAGTTACCGACTGCCGAGAGTTGGGTGAGTTACCGACTGCCGAGAGTTGGGTGAGTTACCGACTGCGGAGAGTTGGGGGAGTTACCTGTTGCGTGGCGCACGTGGTCGAGCGTTGGTAGGCTTCGGCGACACTCGTCACTCCCGAGATTTCCCGATTTCCGACACTGATACACTCACTATGTCCTTTGTTACCCCGTCGCCCTTGCGGGTGTAAACAAAGCGAATGTTCGAGAACTGTCTGTTGATTTGCCCGTGCGAACCCCGAGAGTTTGTTCGACACGAGGCGTCCCTTGAATTTTCCACAGCACTTTACACACATTTTCACCCACTATGCAGCTCGAAGGATCACTGTTTGGTAAATGTCTAGGGTTAGGGTAGATGTGGGATGAAAATGTGGAGGGAGATGTTGGGAAAATTATTTTAGCCGGATTAAAAATATCACACTATAATTCTGTGGGATCGAACCACTTGTCAGTTATTTTTACACTCTTTGGTATTTTAACTGTTAATTCGTTGAGTCACTGAATTTAGACTGAAATTAATCAACAAGGTGATGTACTGAACAAGATATTAAATTTGGAATACTAATTGACTGACTCTATTCTATCATTATCATGACGATACTGAAACACAACTGATGTGACTGACTCTTCCGGGTGCCGCGCTAACCTGTGTCCGTTGACCCGAGGGTTCACGGAGATTTTCGGACATGGCCGAGTTAGTTGACCGTGACCAATATGGAGATTTAAGCTGCATTTCGAATATTGTTTTATAACATTTTCTCATAACTGTCGTCGTTGCAGAGATATCGCAGATGCAAGTCCAGCAAGCGGCGCGCTGGCACTATTGCGCGGCGGCAACGCGCTCCGGAGTCTTTTTAAGAAAAATGATTCGACGGAGAAAAAAATGGTTGAAACAAAAGATGTTTATTACAAAAAAATACATCAGATCAGTTTTTTGGCATTTCCAATTATTCCAAGTAATTTTCGAGATATTCAACGTTTTATGGGCGATGACGGAACAAATTCGCATTGCGTTGATCATTAAACCGTGATTATCTCGTTAACTACTAGGAATAGACCAAAATATCTAATAACTCTGTCTGGTGAATGACTAGATTTAGGGTGGATGTGGGATGAAAATGTCGAGAGAGATGTTGAGAAAATTACTGATGAGCCGGATTTAAAAATTCACACTTTATTTTGTGGGATCGAACCACTTTGTCAAAACTTATGTACACTCTTTGGTAATATGTAATTTCACTGGTGATTGTCCTTGCACGTTAATTTGGTGAGTCACTGAATTTAAACTGAATTTAATCAACAGAGGTGATGTACTGAACAAAACGGTGATCTTACAAAGACCGGTGATGTACTTGATTACTAGTGAGCTAGGTGAGGTTCAAGAAGCTACTGTACTCGGTGAGGTGCGATATAAAACTTGTACAGGTGATTTGCCCGAGATAGACTTGTACGGTGAGAGGCTAAGCCTAAACTAATTCGCGCGTGTTTCGGTGACTTATGACTGATGACCCGAAGGGTCCCGGAAATTTCTGAAGTAGGCCGATGGTCGACCAGAATGTTCTGGAATTTTAGTTGCGTTTCAAACAAACTCAAAAGAAGAGTCATAAAATTACCAATATCTTTTGTTACAACTTTTTTTCTCTAGCTCCGTCCATTCAGAAAATATTCCTGGCGCAAATCAGGGTATGAGTGCATTGAACGTCCACCTCAACTCCACACGTCGCACAACGGCGTCGCAGTGTTATATGACGTTGCCACAGTTTTCTCCGAATTCGCACACAATAGCCTTATCTATGTTTTCATTTTTGAGTTTTGTTTTCATCCTACGGAATTGAAGAACTCACCGTCAGTTTGCATTGAGACTCCTGAGGGTGAAGATCGTATTTTCAGAGAATTTATTTTTTCGCCTGATTTTCTGCCTAGATTGTACGTTGTTTAGCGAACAAATAGCAGAGTAATGAGTTGAACGAATTTCACAGAGAGAGTTATTTGCTGAACGAATGGAGCTAAAGAAAAAAAGTTGAAAGAAAAGATATTGGTAATTTCATGACTCATCTTTTGAGTTGGTAGACATTTTGGTCTATTCCTAGTAGTTAACGAGATAATCACGGTTTAATTATCAACGCAATGCGAATTTGTCCCGTCATCGCCCATAAAACGTTGAATATCTCAAAAATTACTTGGAATAGTTGAAAAAGTCAAAAAACTGATCTGATGTATTTTTTTGTAGTGGACATCTTTTGTTTCAACCATTTTTTTCTCCTTCCAACCATTTTTTTTTTAAAAGACTCCGGACCGCGTTGCGGCCGCGCCATAGTGCCTCCGCGCTGCTCGCTGGACTTGCATTCGCGATATCTCTGCAAGCATGACAGCTATGAAAAAATGTTATAAAACAAAATATATCCACTTTTTGATGAGGAATATTTTTTGTTTACAACATTTTCCCCTATAGCCAACCGTTTCCGCGATATTCTGTTTTAAACAATTAAATTGTTATAAACCGAGAGACTGCCAATGATTTCACACAAATAATCATCATATTCGCAATCAGCGACCTCGAAAACATAGAATCCAGTAATAAAATCTAATGGACATCTCAATGTATACAAAAATACCCCTAGCGTATGGACTATATGGCATGATTTGAGAAAACAAAATAAATTCGATAGATATGGGTATACCCAAATAAGTATAGTAAAAAAAATAAAATAATACTTTTGTTCAATGTGAGGAATATCGAGTAAAATGAAAATATAACAAAATAATATTTTTGATCACCGCAGAAATTAATTAAGAAAATGAGAATCAAAACCAAATAAAATAATAATAACAATCTTCCGAAATTCCGCTCCGCCAGACTCGACACAATCCAAAATAAATAGTTCGGATAAGCGATTTGCTATCCGGAGGGCAATGGAGAGGCTCGGCGATTATTATATTTCCCTGTACGGATGGCCACTACACCAAACGCTGGTTGAGCGACCCCACGTGGGCTTTCACAAGGCCTCTTGCTCGCGGTGCGGGCCGAGATATGATTTTTCTCTCCTCCACAACCCCCCAGAGAACAAAACACGATGTGCCAAGAATGATATTACCAATAGTTATCACCCTAGTTATTTCGCCTATTTCTATTTCTCTCCGTAAATATTCAGTAATCTCCCAGAGTTCGACTAGAATATTCCACGCACCCTCGGGATACAACAGTATTACGGAAAACTAATGAACCGCGGTAAGATGGCGGATCCAAGATTCCCCTCTGAGGGTCACCGACAGACCCCCAGCTTCCATATCCGAAACCCAATCGAATCCCTCGGAATTACGCGCGACTCTTCGACAAGCCAATTATCTCAAAAATATGCGTGCCACACCAAAGGATCGAGAAATATACTATTTGTGCACTCACAACAACGTGGAGTCCTGGCCCACCAGTTGATCCAACATGTGGTGCGTCTCGACGTCCT